TAAAAAACGAAACTAAATATAAACACTTTGCCATTAGGCTACATACAAAACTGAACTATTTCATAGCTGAAACACTAAGTTGTTTAAGGAGAAGGGGGAAATATATTTTTGTCCCGTCTATTGCCTCACCGTTATTTCGAGAATAAACCCAGCGTAAATATGCAGATGTCATTCCCAAAACATATCAGCGTATATGTGCCGAAAACGAAAGTTTCATACAAATTCTGAATGGATTATAGCCTGGAAAGTGCAAAGCACGCTCCTCTTATTATCACTAAAAAGCGTCACTAATCTTAGTTCATAGAGATCTCACAAAGATCCGTTATAATTTATAAAGCTCTCTAAATTACACAATTAATCTTTTATTTACATGGCGTCTACACTCAAAAGATGATTCACGAGCACACAAAATGGCACTTAATAAAAACCAATCCGGCGCTTTCAGCAGTGAGTGAATGACAGATCAATATCCGTGAACCTGATTTTTTTTTTCCCCGCAGCTAGGCTTGCCACGATAGACGGTGTTGACGGTGATACCGGTGTTAAGACGCAACACCGGTGACATCACTTTTCTACCGTGACACCGTCCCCCACATTTGTTTTTTAAGTATTCGTTTTTTATTTTTTTTTTATTAAACATTTATTTAAAATAAATGGAAAATATAATTATAAATAATTGACTTAAAACGAGAGCATGCTCTATAATTAAAATCTAAAGCTACAGTGCGTCATATTTCATTTACCACGTGAGGAGAAAGAGGAGTCGAATTTACAGAAAGAGGATGGCGGACGATTTATTGTCAAAACGCAATGCAAAGGCGCATATTTGGCAAAATTTTGGGTTCAAACCAAATGCATAAGAGAACCTGACGACGTTAATGAGGCGATCTGCAAACTTTGCCTGACAAAGGTGGCAGTATCTGGAAACATAACTAATTTATACACGCACCTTCATGTTTAACTATGGGTGGGTCGCGGATAGATCCATACATACGCAACGCACTCTCATTTAAAAAAAATTCACGCGACCATCATCTCACAATGTTTAATAATAAATATCTTTTTTTTAATTAAAACGAGTGATTTAGCAATGCTGCGCCATTGACAATCCAACTGCAGAGAAACATCGTGGCAACGTGCAGGACTTTTTCCGAAGTTCAGCTGTTCTTATTTCCACTTGATTATGTGTTTAATGTCAAAAAAAATCCATAATGCCTAGGCCAAAAAGATCGAATCCTGTGTATGCGCGCATCTTTTATAACTGAGGCCGCTCTCTTCAAAAACCGAAAGTTGCTTCTTCTGTCTGGCAATATTTCGGCTTTTAATATATGAAAAGTTTATTTAGATGAGCCAATATTAAAAATTGCAATAAAGTAACTGAGACGTGCGGCCACACATCGAATCTGAGGACTGATTTCTCTCTCTCTCTCTCTCTCTCTCTCTCTCTCTCTCTCTCTCTCTCTCTCTCTCTCTCTCTCTCTCTCATTCAGACATCGAGCCACAACACAAGTCAAGTTGCAAAACTTAGGCAGGTGCAGCTGACAGGTAGAATAGCTGAAGCCTTTACGAAATCTGTCAAAATGCACCTCTGAAATTAATAGGCATAAATGTCTTTGAGCCAAAAAAAAGTCTATTGGTAGGATATCTGTAAAAACGCAATTGGAGCCAAAGATATGAGCTGTGTAGCCTATAAATTATAGGCCTATTATTTCGAATAAAATGAAAACAAAAATTAACAATTCATTGCATTTTTCGTTTGATAAAAATATACGTAAACAAAAAAAAATCAAAGGGTGGCTAATTTGTATTAATGTGTTTTAATTTTAATGAAAAAATGCTCAGCATATTTAATTAACGGCTATACGCCGTCAATAGACAAGCCATTCAAAACATTATTTTACCGTGTACTGGGTTATAATGTATATTTTACAATAAAAACTAAACGTAGCATGTCTCGCTGTCATTTAAAACGTGTAATTCATACCACACCAGAGCTGTGGACCTGTAGTGTTTAAACTTACAGGGCGGTTGGTCAATAGCCTTCGCACTGAACTCCAATCCGAGGGACTCGATAGTTACTCGATAGACAACATTAACTTGAGAGAATTAAAAAATAAAAGTTTTTTTTAAAGGAACAACGTGCAAATCTGCAACAAATAAAATAAAAATAAAACGTCTTGGCAGTGCTGTGTGTATTCCGCCATTGACAGTGTAAGACGCCCTTATGCTGCGCCTGTAACTGCCGCTTGTAAGAGAGATCAAAGCTGTATCGATAAAACCAAAAAGCAAGATCATTTAGTTATAAATATTCCATAACAATACTTATCGAAATATTTATACATTTACATGTTGTTTATTGAGATTGTGTGATCTGTATAGGTTGTCTGATCTTTCCAGAAGCTGTAAACTGACACATGCGGTGTTTAGCTCTGACGAGGCGCTTTTATTTAGCCTGCCCTTTGATTTTTTACATAATGTTTCAATTCTTAATTTTTTTTCATATAGTTTAATTATAAAATGAGTGCTCGCTTGTTTAGTTGTGATTATTATGCAAGGATCATATTTCATATTCGGTTTATTCTTCAATAGCCTAAATTCGTTAATAATGTATTTTATAAACGGATTGTTCATAAGGACTAAGCTGTTAATATATAACATAGGCGTTTATGGTTGTTATTTGTATGGTTCCAACTTACACAGTTTTTTCAGCCTGTAGCAGTGTTGTGTTTTATTCGTTATGTAAATAAAAGTTATGTTTTGTTTAATAACAGGGATTTTTTTTGTAGTTTCCTTTCCGTCCATTCAAACAATTGACACCGAATTGGCAACTCCCGCAAAACTGAAAGTGAAAGTATTATATGCACGCATTTATAAGCTATTTAAAATCAGAAAAAAAGAGGAAATGAAAAAATGCCCACTCCCACGGTGATACCGGTATTACCGGTGTTGTCACATGTCGATTAACCGGTGGGGAAATTTCCTCACCGTCACAACCCTACCCGCAGCTACAGTACGCCGGAAATCCGGCGTGGTGCCGGAACGCTATCACCCCTGTTCTATATCATTTTACACTATTAATGGTTTTACTGTATTTTCCATCAAACAATTAGATCCTTGGTTAGAGCCTTCAAAAACTGAAGAAAATAAACTCAAACTAAAAACTAGAACTTCACGATTCTGGATTAATTGAAAAAAATTGTTTTATTGTTTGTTTGCTTAAAATAAGAGCGGCACGGTGGCACAGGGGGTAGCACAATATCCTCACAGCAAGAAAGTCTCTGGTTTGAGCCTCGGTTGGGTCAGTTGGCATTTGTGTGTACAGTTTGCATGTTCTCCCTGTGTTCGGGTGAGTTTACTCTGGGTGCTCCGGTTTCCCCCACAGTCCAAAGACATGCGGTACAGGTGAATGAGAAAAACTAAACTGGCCACAGTAAATGTGTGTGAATGTGCGAGTGTATGGGTCTTTCCCAGTGTGTAAAAAAAGGCTGGATAAATTGGCATTCATTCCGTTGTGGCGACCCCAGATTAATATATGGACTAAGCGGAAAAGAAAATGAATCAATAAATGAATGAATGAATGAATGAATAAATGAACGAACGAACGTTTAAAATAAAAAGCGCAATTCTAAAGACAACTAATTTTAATATTAAACTTATTTACAAGAACACATCAACATTTATATCAGAAAACATATCTCTAAAAATCCTGTTGACTTGAATTTTCCCCGGACTTGGGTAACAACCAAAGACATTGACATGTGCAAAGAAATTAAATCTAATTAGTTTACAAATAAAGTTTTGCATAATAAAATAAAATGACGAAGGGAAAAAGTATTGAACATATGAAGAAAGGGAGGTGTAGAGAGCCAGTGAAAGCCCAGACAGCAGTAGAAATCTCTAAGTAGTTCTTCAGCAACCCTCTGTCCTTCGTCAATGTAAATTAATTTCAGCTGCTTCAGTCCAACATCTACATTAGCAGGATGAAACATGGGTGGATATTTCAGCAAGACAATGATCCAGAACACATTCAGGAAAACTCTCAAATGTATTTAGAGAAAGATAATCAGGCTGTAGAATGGCCCAGCCATTCACCTGACTCGAATAATATAGAATACAAATTAAAGCTCAGATTTGATAGACGAGACCCACAGAACCATCAAGTTTTTTACACTCTGTTGAAGTCTGTGAAAAACTCACACCTGACCAAAGCATGTGACTTCATTCTCCATATGTCACGCGTCTTTAAGCTGCCGTCACCAAAAAAGCCTTTTATATAAAGTATTAAACACGTTTCAATAGTTCAGTTCTTTCTCCTTGTGTCATTTCATTGTTATTACAAGGTACAAATTTTGGCAGATTTTTTTTGTTTTGTTTTATTTTTATTTTCGGGTTTTTACCAAAATTTGGTTCAATCCCATGTGAACGGCTCCTTAGAAATTTATTCCCAGTAAAAAACATTACATGGTCAATACTTATTTTTTCCCAAAACACATACACATACATGTACCTGCAACAATAAAAAATTGTATAGCAAATCTCTAATTTTAATTCTGTTGATGACATTCACGTTGTTCAAGGACAATAAGGCAATAGCAGGAGACTGCAATGGAACTGGCAGTTAGTGGCCTGATCGATGCCAATGATACGCCACCGAACTTCATTTAGAGGTTTGCATGATTGATTAAGTCATTTAGGAGACGGAGAGGATTGTGTTTGGTTGACATTCCAATTGCGTAACAGAATCAGCATAATTGAATTTGCTGGACTCGACTTGCACCATCTGCTCCAAATGATACAACCCCCTCATGAGCCAGCTGTTACAGTCTATATCCCAGGGTGGGATGTCCCATCAGTCCTGTACACTAATACTGTACAGCCAGGGTCAGTGAAGAAATTCCAAGAAAGGGGGAGATTAGACTGATTTGGTCAACCCATTTAATCCCACCAGTCACAACATTGACCGAAAAAGAGTTCAAACAACCGTGATCTGAAGACTTTACCTGTATGTCCTCCAGCAGCTCCTGTTTACGTCTCCTAATGTTCTCCAGCTCCTGCTTCTCCTCTGGCGTCAGGTCGTCCGGTA